ATAGTCCAATCGAATCCACCAGTCCACTGGTCCGACTTCATCAGTGGCTTGCAACCGACTTGCCCCGTTTGCAAAAGTTGGAGCACGGTCGTCTGGAGATCGAGCAGAAGCTTCGACAATTGCTGTCACGTTTGACTGGTGATAACGCATCCCAAATGAGTGAAGTCAAAGCTGGATTGGAAGAAATCAGGCCAGAGCGTATTCAACGATTATTTGCTAATTTAAATCGATACAAATCGATTGTGGATCAGTATGAACAAAAGGTGACTCAAGTCACACAGTCAGTGACGGAATTTGAATTTCGTCGAGACCGATTACGTGATACCGAGGTTCAAATAAACTTAACCGATCTAGACGAAGGGATACTAACCACGCATCGTTTAGACGAGCAAAAGTGGCGGAAATTGTCGGACGAAATTGAAGCCTGTAAAGTGGATCATCTTCCCGAGCTGATCAATTTGGAAAACCAGTTGCCGATCAAATTGCCAAAGCTGATCTCGAATGAACTACAGGAACGATTACACCAACTGCATATCGATGTCAGCAAACAATTAGAGACCAATAGTCGAATGAACGCGTCTCGTACACGTTTAGCCACGATCATTAGATCATTCCAGGAGGCTGTAATCAAGGCGCGAACCGATTCTGGGAAGATTTTGCACCCATTAGCTATTCGACCGACGGAAGTGGATGGAAAATCCAAACCGACGGAACTATGCGACAGCGTACAAAGAGACTTGGATAATGTAATTAAACGATGGACAGCATATCGAACAGAAACCATGCGACGACTAAACGAGGCGTGGCAACAAATTGTCACTGAGGCCAAACAATTGGAAATCAGTGAATCGGTACAAGACACAAACGTGTATGCAACGTTTCTGGATTTACAGAACGACGTGAATCAGATAGAGGATGAGTTGCAAAGCCTGGGTGGACAGGTTAAACAATTACGCAATCAATGGACCGAGTCTGATGACCGGAATTTTGAGGCTCCGCAATTTACTGAACAGAACATGATCAATGTAGACCACATTGTAGGATCGTCATCGATCGGTTCCATGTGGTTAGCGCGTGATCCGGTGAACATGATGACCCGGTTACCTTCTGAGAAGGAGCTAGTAGAAGAAGCCAAACAGAATCTGACACGCTTGCAATCACAGTTGACAGTCTATCAGAAACAGGCACAGCATTGGGAGGTGAGGTACAAGAACTTAGTCGGACAAAAAGCTCTCAATGAGGAGTTAATCACTGGTCTATCTGATGTTCTTCAAAATATGCATATTTTGGCCACTCAGGAACTGGATGAACCTAGTCTCGGGGGAAGGGGAAAGGATAATTCACGCGAAACTATCGACAAGGTAGTGAGCGTTCTTCGTACACGATATCAATCTGCGCAGAATGAGGTAAACGATTCGATACAGAGAGAGCAGACACGGATTGCACATTTGAGTCGTTTGATGCAATCGGTCATGGATTTGGATGCATGGCATTTGGAATTCCATGCTCTATTAACTCGATGGCTAAAATCTCACTCAGACGGATTGGGCAAACCGAATGTGGAGATGAGTCATCTCAAATTCAACATTGCCCAAGGGCAAGCCTGTTTGCAGTCGATTCAGGATTGGTCGAAACAACTCTCCGCGGTTGATTCGTCCAAATCGACAGAAGCGTTTATTCGCACTCAAGTGAATCGAGCCAATCAGATTGTGAGTTTGGCCTCAAGCCAGCCGGACAAATTTCAGTCAGATCTAGAGTCACGTGGCCACACGGCCAAGCAAGTTGTACAGGATATTGATCAGCTGAGTGAAAAATTGTCCTCGTGGCAACAAAAGTTCAAGGAGCTGAAATGTGACAGTATAAAGCTGATTGCCACAGCATCACAAGACTATGACAGTTTGCGTCAAATCGGGTCCCAACTGTCCAGTTGCCAAGACAATTTGGAGGAACATAGTTCGGAACTTCGAACTAATCGTGCACTATTTGATCAGAAGCGTAAAGGCTGGCAATCGATCGATCCCGCAACGAAGGTTCAAGCTGATGAGTTGGAGAAACGTTTCTATGCGTGTGAAAAAGCTGCTGAAGACCTTAGCCGAAGTTTGGAGCAAATTAGAACACGATTTGTGGATGTGAACAGTTTGATCCAACGTTCAAGGCAGTGGTTGCATGAAGTCTCTGAACAGATTCCCAGGGCGAGAGATACACGAGTAAGTATGTGATTATTTACATAAACGATTTCTCAAAGCACTGAACAAATGAGTATTTTAAAATTGGAACACAAGTCCGAAGGCGAAAAATTGTTTTCGAATGATCCATAACCGTTTGTTGTTAGTGGGGACACAGTTTCACGCTAGGTCGAAAGATCATTTGGGGTGGGGAGAGGGGAGTGGGTTGGGCAAGCCCTATGTGTCTGTTTTCGGGTGAAACCGATTGTGATTGGAGTGTTGGTGGTGGTGGTGGTGGTGATGTTGATGATCAATTGGGGGCCAGGGTAAGGTAAGTGGAGAGCTTGAACCAGTCACTTTTGTGCACATAGCTCTGATGCAAAAAGGCGAATGCACTGCTTTAGCGGGGTCGCGAGGCACACGATAACATTGCCAAATGTTATAGGGTAGTGAAATAGTTAAAGTGGCTCCAGATCACACAGTCCGTGATTCGAACCAAGCTGTCATCAAGCGTTTGTGGTAGACAGCTTCCCCCCTGGGCCTAGATTATCCTCACACCCACCCAGTTGAGACCCCCAGGTGATTCCGTATTTCGAGACCCCTCAATGGAAGCTTGAATACAGACCTCGTGTATTATTTTTCTTTAGCTAACGCCAAGTAGTTTGAGAGCAGTTTATTGACCCAGAACGGTTTTCACGTGATCTCAGGCAAAAGCTAATGGATCACTATTGACCTATGCACACAAAAATCTTGGATAGTTTTACAAGCGGATTGATATGACAATTTGCTTTTTGAAGAGTCCAACAGATTAAGTATTTTTTTAACTTCGGATAACTACGGGATTCCGGGAACCGATTGTCAATAACTTCTTTTGATCTCTTGTCTAATAATCACCAATGTTATGAATGTTCAATTGAAAACTCCTCAGCGTGATTCATCGCCAGCTTCGCATAGTTTACCTTGGTTGGCTCATTCTCTTTGCATTTAAGAATTTCAATTTAGAGCGCTTGTATTACTCGACAAGAAAATATTTTCTCTGTTTCCAAATAGTTTTTACATCGGATTTAATTTTCATCTGTTTTGTCCATATTTTTATCATTAAGAGCCCGATTCGCCTACCACCGAATCCATTAGATGTCAGCTATCCATCCACTGCAGTTGTTCCTCCTGTTAGTCAGAACAGAACCAATCAGCATCGAGCTCGATCACGCAGTCCACCGAGGTCCAGAACACCTCCTGGCCGAAACGGCACCGTGGAACCGAATCGCACCCTCGCAACTCCCCTCGTTCGTTTGCACCGTACGCAACATCAAGATCGTTTGGAATGGCTAGACCAATTGCTGGTCGAATTGAACTCAGCCGGAACTCGACTGATCCAGGAGGCTCAAACACGTACTAGTCGACTGGAAACGGAATTAGGCCAGTTTAGATTAGAAGCAAACAGTGTGCACGAAGAGATGGGTCGAATTCGAGAAGAGTTCGAACAGGCTTTGTCATATGCATCGTATATGCGCCAGGAAGTGGCCGAAACTGTGGACGCACTAAGCCAATTCGAGCAGGGTTCTGAGAGCTGGCGTAAATGGTACGACGGTGTATTGACCCGTTTGAGAACAATGGCTCAGGGCTCGCTGATCGGTTGGACTGGCACAGATATAGGGGAGAGGGGTCTGGCGAATGTGGACTATGCGACTATTGACTTGGCAGCTCCATTGACTGATACGATTCAACGTCATCAAGTAAGTAAGCTGATTTATCTGTGAGTAGCTTCTTGGATTTTTGATGTATTATAATAATGCACTGTCCCAGAGCGGTTTTTGAGGCTGCTTTTTACTTGTATACTACTTATTAGTAGCTGAATTATATAATTCTCATTTTTGTTTATGGAAGTCAAGATAATAGGTACTGCAATAAACCGCATATCGGCACATACAAATCTGATTTTTGCCGCAGATCGTTTGGGATCAGTAAGCGATTAGGACTACAGACTGTACTGCCACAAGTTCACTAACAACATTTTAGCTTACAAGTCATCCTACTGATTCTCCGTCAGTGATCGCATGGCGTATCGCATTGATATCTCCAAGGCGTTCAACCCGGTTTAGCGTGACAGGTTGCTGATGAAACTCCCTAGATTCGGACATTCTTTGTATTTTCTCTTTCGGATACATAGGTTCCTTTGTGACGTTTTGATCTCAGTTCGTGTTAGTAGAGTGGTTTTGAGGACAATTCATTGCCTAGTCAACCCCCCTTTTTGGGTTAGATTCGTTGTTTTGATTCTCACCGGTTGCTTTTCATCCTATGCTTTCCATTCGTTTTTTAATAATTTTTCAAATGAAACCAATCTATATTGTTTGTCTGGCTCACAAGAACTCTGGTGTGTGTGTGTGCGCGCGCGTATTGTCCACCGCAAATCCTCACGATTGCTCGTCTGTGGGTACTGCGCATAGTTCACACTAGAGGACTAAGTGGAGTAGGTCTTCACTGGAGTGGATACCGTTACCACAAAGCCTCTCCTACGTCATCTCGCTGCCCTATTTTGCTTTTGGACTCTTATTGATTTAACTCATATTGTACCTGGTCTTCAATGCTTTTGCTCTACATATCTTGGGTAGTGCTTCCGCCAGTCGGAGATGAATAAGTATTTTTTAAACGTGTTTCGATAACCAAACTCGATAAAGCGCAAGAAGATGGAAGATAGAGCAACCATTGTGAATAGAATCTCTTCAGGACTCACTTCTGAACCATTTTCGTCAGAAAACTACAGGTTTGTGGCACAGCCGCAGATTAAGTGGATTGGACTTACCCTAACAAAATATGTAAAATGTGCGCCACAATTATCGGGACATTCGAATTTCGTTATCCATCCTGGATAAAAGCGACACCATAGTCGCCATTTGTTACCCAGTGCTTGCCGATGCTAAGGCAAATAAAAAATAATAAAAAATCAACCGATGACTCAGTTAGTATAGATCGTTTCTTCAGGCTGACAAACCGTAGGTAAGTTGGTCTGCTAACAGTGGTACGCATTCACATTCAAGGCACTTTGAGGAAACTACGGATGTGTTGGAGAAACCTTCGTACCCACGGGTTTTCGCGTTTTGAAAAATACCCGCTTGATAAGCAATCTCCATAGGTTCTCAGTAAGACCGAAATAAGAATCTCAGGTGGATTGTACACACAAAAATAATCACACCCGTATGATATAGGACGGGAGTATTGTGGTGCATTTGTGTTAAAAAGAGTCTAGACAACCCATCTTTGTCATGATAAACCGCAAAATCAAACGACCGAGTGTCTTGCAATGGGTCGCTGCATATCAGAGCAAGGCTCGGGTTTATAAATGACCAGCTGCGGAAAACGTACCCCATACCTATAATCTATTTATTTATCAGTTGGTTCCCGATTCAACGCAATTGCTTCGTTCGCGGTAGCATCTCAACGGTTGTGAGCATTATCCTGTCCGTTCAGGTCAAAATTTTCCTTATCACCTCCCTCATCATCACAGCGTCAGACATGTGTGGCTTTTATTCTACGGCAAACTCGGCTGAATTCGATGCCGATTCCACAAAACCATTCCCTCACTTATCCACTTGCCATTTGATAGTGAGGTTTTTCCCACTTGCCAGTTGTACAATTTATATTCAAATTCGGAATCCAAACGTGACTTCAACTGTTCGGTAACTGTTTTCTCTGTGGATCGAATAAACCAATGCTTTAGTCACCCGATCAAAATGCCCCAAGTTTCGGATTTTTGTTTAACAGACTTGCGAGAACTGGGACGGGAACCACCACCTTTGTCGATATTCCTGTGCTTAGTCCCGTCTGTTATGTGCGTCCTACAAGATTGTTCCAGGGCCAGCATCTTGTTGTCCTCCGTTTGTGGTAATGTAGAACAAAACCGCGGAAACGACAAGCGGACACTCCCGGTTCAGTCCCACGGGTTTTGAAAGCCTGTGGGCGGGATGAGAATGTGGAACGAGTTACAGACGATCACCGGAAAGGCTTTGGTGATTGACCAGAACGTATCAGCACGTATCGTGAAATTTTCCTGTCCGGAATGTTCCTCTCAGTTGATCGCATTACATAATCGAGAATGTGTGTGAACTTTGTACTATTGGTAAAGACTAACTGTTCCGTAGAAGTTTGGTGTGCTATTTTACATACACACATCGCAATGATGATTGAAATAAAGTGGTATATATTTCATGCTGCACTTCCCCTTTCCACAAACTTTTCACTCTGTCAGGAGTTGATCAGTCAAATCAACAATGGACGATCGGAACTGGTCCGTCTGGAGGCGTTGAGCACAGATTTGCATGATCGTTGCAACGAACCATGCGCACAGCAGCGTTTGGTCCAGTTAAAGAGTCTTCAAGACACTCTGATGGATAGTTGTCGGGTGAGTTCAAAGATCAGTCGCTTATGTCTGTGGTGGATGTAACAGATCGGTAAAGTAATCGATGAAGGCACAGAATCCAACTGTGTTGTGTGCGTGTCTCTAGCTTCGTAGAGAGCAAGACGCGGCAAGAATGTGAGTGTAGAGTCAGTAATAGACCATTTGGCTGTGCAAAGGATAGCGACTCATCTTAGGATGCTCGAGACCATTTTTTATCACGTTCTTCCGTAGACAGCTTTAAACATGCAATATAGAATCCCCAAAACTGAATCACGATGTACACCAACCACACCTCGAAAAATCGCGCATAATCAATTGCTATCTAAAATGTCCCAGATGGACTGAGAAAGACACTTAGCCATAGTGAGGATGAATTTTTGAATGTGAATTGTTCTCGGAGATCTCATTTTTGCATGAAGTTATATTTGACAATCAGAGACTTATCACGTAAAGCTAGTTTGTCCTTGTTAGGGATCACAAGTAGTGGCGAATAATCGTCGTGGTATGCAGTTTTCACGTGTACCAAGTTAATTTGAGGCCCCACTCGTGATAACTCAAACTGCCTCAAATTATTTGAAGGCAATTAAAACAGTATTGATTACTCAGAGCACTGTTGGTTTCGCTCTTCATTTAAATCCGGCGATGGTAGTTCGAGTTAATAATTGATTATGATTGGTCTATAGCATAACATGTGACCTTATTTGAATGCATTATGGGACTGGGTAGAATCGAATGCGTTGTTCTAACTCAAACAATTAAGATGATACTGTGGAGTGCGTTTAGTATAAAACCATGGAACTTACAAAACGAGCTGCGCCTTTGAACTCATTATTGCACTCTCTCTCTCTAACGAATCACATTCAGAACCATGAAAACTTAAAAAATTGTTGAAGTTAATAAGTACTGGTATTGACACACAACTCACTTGTCGTTTCAGTTTCTGCAACTATTATCCATGCACATTCATGCGGCGGTCTTTGTTGCTATCTTTCGGCCGATCATTTGGATAAAAGAGCAGAAGGAAGATTGGAGTGTTGAGAACAGAGCAAAGAAGAGATGAGAGAGAATTCGCATAGACGCAAGTTCAGAGAATAGTAAGTAGATGAATGAGTACCACTGATTGAGACATTCGGTCATATCACACATTGTCTCTAATCACCGGTTACAATTGTTCCGAGATCCCCATCCAAGGAGCCCTACGCAGTCTATATGACTGTCTCCTGGTTAGGATTTTCATACCCTCAATGTCAGGTCTTAATTTGACCGCAATTAATTTCCCATCCACTACCTACCTCGGCAAACGTTGCGCGTCGTGGAAACCAGTTTGGTGGCATGCAAAATATGCCCCCAATTGCCGTAATATATGGAAGTCAATCACTTGTTTTAGTGGACGACCGTGATAGCCTAAAACTCTGCACTTCACCTGTGCATTGCTTGTCCGGTTTCCTCATCAGATATTCATTCAATGCTACATAGACAACAGTGTTTGTTTACGTAATAGCTAAGTCTCTGCACCGTATAGCAAAACTGGCCGAACTGCTTCAGCACACACTCGACATTTAACAGATAGCCGGATGTCACCGCGGCACCAAAGATGTCTCAAATTGGTAAATACCAACCGATCCGTCTGTGTGCGTGCCTGCACTTGATCTGCAATGCATCCCCCGGGTGGGATATAGCTGCACCATTAGCAAAATTTGACTACTTTCTCTCCCATTTCCCCAGTTCAAGTGATTCTGGGAGCTGATTGAACCCATTCTAACTAGCGTAAACCGATTGAGGAGTGATAAAATCGAGATTGACAGAACTAGCTTCTTAGAATAAGTCGTTTCAAGTCAATACTCTATTTATCCATTGATGGTGTGGTTCAATCTAGCTGCACAAGGAATTCTCTGGACAGAGAAGTATCAGAGCTTAGTCACATCGTCGGTGCTGGCTACAGCTGCATTCCATGACTTGAGGCATCGAGCACTCTTCCGTACCAGGAAAAAAGTGAATCGTATCAAGATACTGTTAAGGAAAAATACCATACATTAAATTTTATTGTTCCGACATAGTCTGGAACACGATAATCAACGTTCTGCCCTTGTTACAGGATCTATTGCCAAAATTACAAGCTGCTTGTAGTGAAGAGCGAGAATTCTACCGTGATCTGTCCGAGTTGGAAACGTTTCTCGGGGAGAAAAATGCCCAGTTGGATAGTGTTTCAAGCGAAGACACCAAACTGAATCAGCTGGAGGAACAGAATCAAAGAATCAAGGTAACCGACCATACTGAATTCCCTTGTTTTTGTTATGTTATTTCTTTGATTGGCATGCGCGAATTCACACGTCCGTGAGATAGTTTTGTTTTCTAGCCTTCAATTATCCATTTGATCGAACAATGGATTTGGAATAAATGGACCACTGGGGGGGGGGGGAGAAGATGAAACGTTCGGTGGTGATTCATTAGTATTCATTAGAATATCACCCAGGTCGACACGTATTCGAATTCCATCAATAGAGCTTCACTTTCCCCGTTCTGGGTGTGGTGCACTGCATTTGTTTGGTTGGCAGCTTCCCCTTGCTGACTATTGGATGAATATTTAGTCAATAAAAGCCTCCGCATGGTTGAGGGTGGGTGTCTACGGTTGCGGCTGGTCACCCTTCCCTTGCGCCTAGCGAAATGCTCCCATACGACCAAGCATCTCGAATAACCTCTGCCTAGGAAACCCTACTCACTGCCTTCTCGTGGCGGAGGTGTTTTCCCATCAAAGTGAAAGGGCGAAAAGCCGATATCCGGGGTTACAACCGGGTTGGTGAACCACTGGTAATTCACCTAGGGAAGTTGGCCCAAAACCCTGATTCCAGTCGAACCATGTTGAAGCCTACG